GGCTCAATTGGTGTCGCACGATGAGGACTACCGATATCTCGCTGTCTCTGTGTAAATAACAATAACTTGCACGTCGTTTTTACTTAGCCAATAAATATTGGTATCTTGTTTTTTACAAGGCACACTGTTCATTTTTAGAAAATTAGAGGAGGGAAAAATTCTGGCACTTTGAAAGAACAAATGGCAGGAATCCTTGTCACTAAACTTTTGCTACATCTGGCCAAATTTGCTAATTTTAGGATAGAATTCAGTGGGTTCCGATTTGTTAAATAGCTCACGCATCATCTTGTAGAGGAATATCTGAAGAAGGGACTCTACCCGGATATTTGGTTATTATTAGAACAGGCAAATTTGAATAAGTCCCTCTTTCTCTTTAAATGTTGTTATTCTGTTTGATTTTAAGTGGAGCATCAAAATGACCAAACAAATTTGGCAACATTTAAAAAAAAAAACCTTAGCAACTTTAAGATGTTTGGACTTCAATTCCCAGGATTCTCCAGCCAGCCAGCACTCCCATGAGCCCTACCTAACCTGTGCCACCTCCTCCATGTGTCATCCGTGACCTAAATGTCACTTCCTGTGCCCTCCAAAGCACCCCCAGACATCCTTCCTTACCCATACTCCCCCACATATCTTCCCCAATCCACTTTGCACCTCTCATGCAACCTTCTTGACCGTACTACTCCTCTCTACATGCCCTACTCTGCATGGCACCTGTCATATACTCCCATAGTTCCCATCCACTGTATAGTGCCACCTCCCATGCCCTACATGACCTGCATGGCATCTTTTACGAACACCCATGCACCCTTCCTGACTTGCATGGCACCCAACCCATACCCCTGCATAACTCTCCCCCCTCCCTCCCTCATTTGTCAGCAGCCATTTACTTGCTTGCTGGCCTTGGACTTTTGACTTCCTGCTGGCTTCCCCGGTGACTTTCTCCTGCAAACTTTGCATAACTAAAGTAAATGGGGAAGCTGGCAGAAACTCAAGGGTGGGAGGGAGGGAGGAAGTTAGCTTCTCATGAGAAAACCTGATGGGAAACTCAGCAGAAAGTCAAAAGTTGCTCTTGCTCCCACTGCTTTTATGTCCACCCCTGGTGTTTCTCTATTTAGATAAAGAAAATCTCTGAATTCCTGGTCCAATGGGTCATGGACTATCTAATGTGTGTGTGTTTGTCTGTGTATAAAACACCACAATGGTCCAATGGTTAAAGACACTGAACTAACAGCCCTGGTTAGAAGTTTGAGTATTGCATGGTGGGGTGAGCTCCTATTCTTGTCCCAGTTGCTGCTCACTAGCAGTTTGAAAGCATGCAAACGTGAGTAGATAAATAGGTACCACTTCGGTGGGAAGGTAGAAACATGCACCTCGGTGTACAGTCATGCTGGCTACATGATCATGGAAATTGTCTTTGGACAACACTGGCTCCCTCGGCTAAGAAAGGAAGATGAGTGCCACCCCATGGAGTAGAGCACATGGGGTGGAGTAGTGAACAGGGAAACTGAATGGGAAAACCTTTGCCTTTTACTTTTATGAAATGTATAGTCTAGCTTCTGTAGCTTTGGAGAAGCAAAATGTTCTGTTGAAAGCGTTGTAAACTTTTTTAAAGCATACTTTGATTTGGAACATGTTGCTGGATTGAATTCTGCCAAGACCCATTTCACTTGCATGAAAAATGCTTCCTTGCTTCTCAGGGAAGTCACCCAATAAATGTCTTTTCAGAGATATGTATAATCATTTCCAGTGAAATGTATTCCAAGGTGAATTTATTTATTGCACTGTTCAATTGCTCATTACGAAGGCAAGCAGGAGTGAGATTTTGATCTGTGTGGTAATTAACCTCAATGGGACTGAACTCAGCATTTTTAGAATAAATGTAATGTTTTGTCATTCTGAATAGCTTTGAAGTGAAATGATGTGGATACATCTACAGCTAGGTTATTTTATTGTCTGTGTTATGAAGGTACGGGTCTGGCCTGATAATTTAAAAACTAATTTTTGAACAGATCTTTGGCTTTTGTTTACAGTGCTGGTAATGCTTTGTGTATAAAACTTGTGCTTTTTGATACCAATTTCCTCAAAATATTTCTTTCATGTAGGCCTTTTAACAACACCCATGTCCAGATTGCTTGATTTTTAAAATATAAATGCCCGTTGTGCTGGACTACTTGCAGCCAGAGGCTGCTGGAGGTGTGTGTGTGTGTGTGTGTGTGTGTTTGCTCTGGGACTTGCCATCAAGGTGGAAATGTTTGGGGGAAAGTTGGAGCAATAAAGGGGCAATTTGATCAGATGACTGTGTTGCCTCTGTGCCATGCCCTGGGCCATCACACAAAGGCAACCCCATTGGCATCAAGGCTTATAGCCACTGATTCCTCCATTACTTCCATGAATTTATTTATTTATTTAGGGAATTTAAATAGAGTAGAGTAGGGTAGGGTAGGGTAGGGTAGGGTAAGGTAGGATAGGATAGGATAGGATAGGATAGGATAGGAATTGAATGAGAATAGAATAGAATAGGGAAGAATAGAATAAAATAGAATAGAATAGAAATAACAGAATAGAATAGAATAGAACAGAACAGAACAGAACAGAACAGAACAGAATATAATAGAATAGAATAGAATTAGAATTCTTTATTGGCCAAGTGTGGTTGGACACACAAGGAATTTGTCTTGGTGCAAATACTCTCAGTATACATAAAAGAAAAGATACATTCATCAAGAGTCAATATTGCTGCCTATTCGCCCGTAGTGACTCAAGGTGATTTACAGAATCTAAAACCACATTAAAAACAACAAAAACTAACAAAAAGAATCAAAATAAATAAATAAAGAATTGTTGCAATTTTTTTCTGAAGTCAGCCAAGCTGGTAACAGCATCACCTCTTGTAGAGTTTAATGTCAAGTTGGTGCCATTTTTTTTTTTTTTAATTTTGTGTCCTGTTCTTCCAGGATTCAGTTTCATTGGATAACCTCTGATTCTAGTTATAGATGGATGGATGGATGGATGGATGGATGGATGGATAGATAGATAGATAGATAGATAGATAGATAGATAGATAGATAGAT